TCTTTAAGTATACTGTTTGGATGCAACGTTTGGGCGTAGGAAAAAACCAGATAAAGCTTTGTTATACGTATGTATTGTATGTATGTACTTATATGCATGTGACCGCCAATTCACGCATGAAGTAAAATATTTGAAAAAACTGTCGCCGACTGAGGTCCCAGACATAAGTATACCTCCTACACCCAGTTTTCTGGTAGACTTTGAGGCGCCTAATTCGACTATCGAATATATTAGCATATAATATTAGATTTTGAACCCAAGATGGTCTAGAACGCCTCAGGTTCGAAAAACTTATTATTACTATCGTCTGTAGCCAAAGATGCACAAACACAAGAAATGGGAGTTTTGGAAAATATTTCCATGGCCGATATTTCATTTGAAAAAGGATATTAAACTTGTTTTAGCTGGACATCATTCGTCAGAAAAAATTAAAAAGTAATGGAGGAAAATGCAAATTTGAGGGTTAAAATAGTTTAGTAAATTGTAGTCGTCATAGTAGATAGTACAATTATTTAAAAATTTTGGCTTTAAGTGTATATTTTCTTTAGCCTTTAACCTAACCTGGGCTAACTTTAGCCCAGACGCCTTAAGCCTCTTCTAAGATTACTGGCCCCGAGACCCCGGTTGTAATAATAGTTAGACTAAGTTAAAGTGTTTAGACTTAAGAAGTCGGAGTTTCCCGCAGGATCAAAAGTTCGTGTCGATTTCGTGTGATGAAATGGCACTTAAGAGTCATTTCAAATAGTCCCTTAATTCGATAAAATTATAGAAGTAGAAGATCACGGCCTTGAAAATCGTACGTCGCGAAAAGGTAATAGCGCACTTGTATGATTCAAGGTATTGGTAGAATGCCTTGGTTACATCCACTCTCCTATTTCATTGTCCTACTTCATTGTCCATTAACCATAAAAAGGAGATGTTGCAAAAAAATATATAAATATTTGAGAGTAACACCCAAATACCAAACATAAGTCTCATACCTTACTATTTTGTTTCATACCTTACTATTTTGTTTCATACCAGGGATCTAACTTTGTGTATGAGTGACAGAAGAGTGTCCATATTTTCAAGTCAATGGCAAGGATAATTCTTTTGTTTTGGTTAGCCACCACCTTTTAAAAAGTTTAGAAAATTCAAAAAATAAAGTCAGTTTTGAAACGGGTTCAGTGAGTTGGGACGATATTGTTTATTTTTATAAATAGGATTCCCAAAATCCTGTGCGTTGTGGCCTCAAGCTGACTGAAGCACATACATAAGTATATGAATTTCCGAATAGCTTTCAAACAAGAAAAAACGTTAACTCCGGTTGCGCCGAAGCTATAATACCCTTCACAAAAACAAAGGCCCCTTACAAGATCTTAATTCCGAACGTTCAATTTGTATGACAGCTATATGATATAGTGATCTGATCTGACCAATTTCTGTGGAGAATAATTTGTTGCCTTAAGCAATAACTCGTGCCTAATTTCGATGAGATTTACTCCGATCGTTCAGTTAATATGGCAGCTATATGCTATAGTCATCCGATCCATACAATTTCTTCGGAGATTAGATTAATGCTTTAAATAATAATATATGCCAAATTTCGTGCAGATACCTCGTGAAATGAAGGAGTTTTCCTTACAAGCACTTCATTCCGAATGTTCAGTTTGTATGGCAGCTATATGCTATAGTCATCCGATCTGAATAATTTCTTCGGAGATTACATTGTTGCCTTAACTAATAACACTTGATTCCGATTGTTCAGTTTGTATGGCAGCTATATGCTATAGTGGTCCGATATCGGTTCCGACAAATGAGCAGCTTCTTGGGGAGAAAAAGAAGTGTTCAAAATTTCAGATCGATATCTCAAAAACTGAGGGACTAGTTCGCGTATATACAGACGGACGGACGGACAGACAGACGGACATGGCTAAATCAACTCAGCTCGTCACGGTGATCATTTATATATATACTTTATATGGTCTCCGACGTTTCCTTCTGGGTGTTACAAATTAATATACCCTGTTCAGGGTATAAAAATGAGTGTAAAGCTGGCGTCCCAAGTTATGAGCGATACCGTACCCTCTGGTATGCTTACTTCGTATAGTTTAGACTTTTGCTCGATTTTTAAGTACCGCGAATTTTTTAAATAAATTATTAGATCTTTTCAATAGTAGTAATAACGGAACTGTATTGCAAACAAAAACAGAATACCAGTTAAAATGGGTCTGACATAACAAATTCTTTAAAATTTGATTAAGGGTTGCATTTAAAATATTAGTAGTCTAAGATGTTTGTGGCGGTTTTTGTCAGTCAGACTTACCTAATTACTTATTTTGTAACCTTTTCAAAAAATCTTGAGGATTAAAACGCCAATATCGTAGTAAAGGGAAAGTGTAAACCCGTTCCACAAAAGAAAACTGTTTCAATTGCACAATCTCACACAATTTTGTGCAATGACAAAGTGGTTCAGGATCTCTTGGAAAGAATTTCAAGGTCTACCACGACCTGGTCGGATAGCAGTAGGAGAAAATTCAGAGTTTGAGAGAGAAAACGCCTTTATATATTTCTGCGGCTATCTCTATTTAAAAATTTATAAGACACAAGCTTGCTCCCAACCCTTACCATATACATATATTTCATTCAAAAAAGATAAGTTGAAAGGTGTAGTTCGGTAAGATCGCCATAGTGATTTTAGATTATTTTAAAGTCTTAGAAATAATTTTCCTAAAGGAATTTGATTCAACTTGTTAAAGGTTAGGTGTAGGGCAGATTTTATTTGATAAATTAAAAAGTGTCAGCCCCTATTCCTATTGGGATATAGAATAAGAATTTTCCTTTTAATTATATTCTACGCAATTCCCACTGGTAGGTGGTAAAATTTCTATCAATCGCTACAGAACCATATGTACATATGTGTGTAAATTTAATTTTTTTTCCTATACACATATGCAAATACATATGTATATTAATTTTAGCTATATTCAAAGCTCTTATTTTGCTTTCGGTCCTTCTAATTTAAATACATAATTAATTATTACTGAAAACTGGGTTAGGATATTTTCTATGTATGTATGTAAATATTAGGCCTTAATAATATATATTTATTTATTACAGCTTATATTATAATGCAATTTTGTTTGTAAAATTTTTTTATTTTTTTTGAATTTTGGAAATTATTGTAATTTTTTCCACAATTGCAACATTGACAAGTGTTATAAAAAAATGTGGACTTTTGCTGGAAACAGTCACCGCTTGTACCGCCCGCTTCTGCAAACCGTACGGAAAATAGATAGATTATTTTTAAGTTGGATTTTAGTTTTTAGTTTTTACATTATAAAAAATTAAATGTATACAAATTAAACAATGGCAACATTGGTCAAATGAAAATGAAAGATAATAACTGATTTCTAACTAACTGAGTAAGGATGGCGAGGTGTTAAAACGGGTTGCAAATAACAAAAAACGCCGTAATAATTGTTTATAAATATTTAAAATTTTTGTTATAGAATGATGTTAAATGCTGTTAACAATATATATTATATCATGTTGATATACATAAGTAAGTGAATATGCGGTATATTTTTAAGCATTTTAATAGCCATAAAAATATGTACAATATTTTATTAGAAACTCTTTACATAAATAAATTACCGTATTGTTATATGTATGTATAGTTCTAAGTTTAGTTTTTAAATAAAATTTTCGTACTATAACATAGAAATATGAGAAGAATATTATGTACCGAGTTTGGTTGAAATCGGTTAAGCAGATCCCCAGATATTTGTTTTCACCTAAAAGTGGGCGGTGTCACGCCCACTATCTAATTTTGAACGTGGTTCCTATGAAATCGTCTTATACCATCCCAGAGATAAAATTTAATGTCTCTGGCTTGTGCTTGATTTATCGCGCTTTTAGTAGTTTTTAACAGTACCGTTATATGGGGAGTGGGCGGGGTTGTCACCCGATTTCACCCATTTTCACACCTTCGATAGAGATAGATAGATGCTAAAAACATTTGTTCCCAGTGAATTTTGTTATTATAGCTTCAGAGGTATTGGAGAACAAAACTATTATACTCTGTAGCAACAGGTTGCGAGAGTATAAAAATTACAATCATACAGGCGTTTCTGTATGTCGGCGCTTCCAAAAATATTATATATAGAATTCGTAGGAAGAATGGTAAATATGTACTTAATGACCCTCACTTCGTAGGGGGTTGGGGTTATAAGGGGTGACACAATTAAGTGTCCTTTTTATGAATTCGAAGGAATTACCCGTCGGTCACCCCTTAAAAAAAGTTATGTAGATTACAAAATCCGTGAGCGGAAAGTGAATTTTTTCAATAATTTATGTATATTTTTCAATATTTATTTACACACTTTGCACATATCACATATTCAAGTCACTTTGTTGTTGTTGTTGTTGTAGCGGCAAAATTCTGTAGAATTCAGATCTCTTAGCTGTAATTACCAGTTCAGTGTGTTCAACATTTTCTTATGAAAAACATATACTGAAGAAATGTAATAGTCAAAATTTCTTTTGTGCCGCGTTTTTATGGAATGAATGAATATCGGAGATCGTCGAACTCCTTTCCGCACTGGCGGCCTTCCAAAAAATAACCCTGGTCGGTCCAAAACCGGGGTGTTCATAATTCAATCGCGTCAAAATCCTTTTCGCTGCTGTTTGTGCAGAAAGGAGTTTGACACGATTGAATTATGAACACCCCGGTTTTTGACCGACCAGGGTTGAATTTGGGAATATGCTGTTTTCACAAAATTTTAACCCTTCATATAATTTTTTTGAAGGGTGGCCGACGGCTAAATCCACTGAAATTGTATTTCACAGACTCCCTTCGCATACCATCTGCAACCCCAACCCCCTCCGAAGTGGGGGTCATTAAGTACATAATTACCTTTGATTTTGGTTGTATGTTACCGGCGGCTATTTAATCACTTTTATTTTCATAATACTACATACATATGTATGTACATGTCCTTTAATGAATATCAAATAAATTGGTTTTTATAAAAAGTATATTGAGTTTTTTTTTCTACAATTTATTTTTGTTGGTACCTTGTACACCGGCTTTTTCTGCCCTCCTTGGATACCTCTCAGCTCTCGCTGATCAGTTAATAGTTCTCTACTGCCCATTTACGATGATCAGCACCATCCAAAATATTTACACCAATAAACACATGTTTTCATATATTTAACGAACGTTTTTTGTGCAATTAACCGGGGGAAATTAAAGGTATATTTTTTTTAATAACACAAATTTTTTCGAATTGTGACATGTTTCGGATGATGACATACAGCTCCACGGACACCTAGGAGAAAATGTGGGAGTGATGAGAAGTTGGTGTTACTCCAGCAAAATTTTAAATCTCTGTCAGATTTCAAAGAGGCTTGATGCCTGTCAGTGCAAGAAAGATTGATTACCATAATTGATCAAAAACATCGCTTCCAACAAGCCGAGCTGGAAATGGATTTAGAAATCGATAGCTGGAAAACTGAGAGACTAGTTCGCGTATATACAGACATACGGACAAACGGGCATGGCTAAATCGACTCAGCACATCATGCTGATCACCTACATATGCCCATATTTTATAGGGTCTCCGACGTTTCTTTCTGGGTGTTACAAACTTCGTGGCAAACTTAATATGCCCTGTTCAGTGTATAAAAATGAAAAATGTCTCTATTCGAATAATAATTTGGCCGCCTCTCTTGTAGCACTGGAGACATTGCTCTGACGTCAGATTGCATTAAACCTAAGTATATTATGTAGGAGACATTCAAAAGCCTCTTTAGTTAGACGAAATCGTTCAAAAAATCTGCAAGGAAAATTTTGTTAATGAGGCTTCTTGATTTGTTTTTTATATAAATACATACATACATACATACATACATACATACGTACCTATGCTGTATACGACAGTTCCAAAGGATTACTTCGATCTCTAAGCTGCCTCTGCACTATTTTTTCATCCCCATCACATTCACTAGAGCTCATATACTTAAAAGAACAAAGTCGGATTCATTTTGATATTTAATTTGCTTTTGTTAGTTTATTTAAAATTGGCAACAGTATTGACAGTTTCACATCTATTATGACCTAAAAACTATCGTGAATTAAAAATAAATTATGATCCGTGTGCTATCATATGTTATAATGCCAATCACCGTATACGATTATCGAATCACGTAATTTTCTTTGATATGGTTGCCGATCCGTGCACGAATGTGACGACTCTACCACTGAATTAATAAATCCTTTTAATTATTTTCAATTCAAAACTAATACTACGAAGCATTACATCACAAAACATTTGATTAAATACATTTAAATTTCGCGTTTTCTTTAATTTTCATTGTTTTACATTTTTTGTTAATGATCTTAAACGGCAGCAATAAATCTCTCCGCTCCCCTACAGTTTTTTGGAGAATTTTAATCTGGCCATTCCACTCGTTCCAATGGCTAAACGCCAGAGCCTACCCGATCCAGTCAACTGTCAAACTCGGGTAGGTAGTTACTCTCTCATATACAATGGCAGGAGAGTTGGGCATATCTTTATCTCTGATCATGAAGAAACAGTTTATGGATAAATGCGTATATGTATTTATGAGTGAAGTTCTTATTCTTGTTATATTGAATAGAAGGCATATTGAGACACCTAAGACATACTTACGCACAAACAGAGCGTTCAAATTCACGAATGCTGAGTTGATTTAGCCATGTCCGTCTGTCTGTCTGTATATAAGTATGCGAACTAGTCCCTCAATTTTTAAGCTATCGATCTGAAATGTTGCACCTGTCTTTTTCTCACTAAGAAGCTGCTTATTTGTCGGAACGGATATCGGACTACTATAGCATATATCTGCCATATAAACCGAACAATCGGAATCAAGTGCTTGTATGGGAATTTGGATTATTATTTAAGGCAATAATGCAATCTCCGCAGAAATTGTATAGATCGGATGATTATTGCATATAACTGTCATATTAACTGAACGATCGGAATAAGGTGCTTGCTTTTTCATTTGACGAGATATCTTCACGAAATTAGGCATGAGTTATTGCCATAAGGCAACAATGTAATCTTTGTAGAAATTGTTCAGATCAGATCACTATATTATATAGCAGCCATACAAAGTGAATGATCGGAATCAAGTTCTTGTAAGGAACCTTTTCATTTGTAAAGGGTATTATAGCTTCGGTGCAACCGACGATAACGTTTTTTCTTGTTTTGATTTTATGATACTTGATTTATTACCTTGTCGGGGAAGACCAAGGAACTTCAACGAAAATTAAATTAACACCATTATACAGAAATGCACATCCCATTTCAACTCCTAAGTATAAGGATATGACGGAGTTACTACTATACACCATCAATGCACCATGAATATTGTAACAATCACACACATAATCTAAATGGGGAGAAATAATATGACAAAATCTTTAATATTATCCTAAATAAATGCATGTTAGTTTATTTTTTAATAAATGAATTAATATTTGTTTCTAAATACATTTTTTCTAATTACATACATAAATACAAATGTACATATGTATGTATATCTAAATTGAAAGCTTCCCTATTTATTTTAAAGTTATTACGTTAATCTACATACATAAAAAATAAAATATTTAGAATTTATATTATTTCATTTCTTTAAAATAATAATTTCAAGGACTTACCTTGTTGTCCTGACAAAAATTGTGCTATCAACAAAGATCGTATATATGGATAGCCCAGCGACTTTGAAATCCCTGAAGTCTCCTATGGTCTCATCAAAGATAGTGAAAGAATGCCTTGATCTATTAAAGGATCAAATATCCTACTTCACGATTAACCTGCAATGGGTTCGAGGGCATACTGATATACCTGGTAACTTCGAAGCAGATGAACTAGCCAGAACAGGCTCCAATCAACAATTAGCCTCTGAAAAAGAGGGAATTTTTATGCCTCTGGCAACTTGTAAACAATTAATCAGCGAATATGTTATAAAACTAGCTGTGTCTCGGTGGATTCAAGACTTGCTTAAATAGCAGGCAAACGTGGCAGGAATGGAACATGAACCGCAGAGGCCGACTATTAAAATTCAAAAGGAATGACATAAGAACTCTGCTAGGAGTACGAACAGGACACTTCCAGTAAACTGACTTCTTGGAAAAGAATCACAGCCATTGGTTGAGGGATTCTTTACGACGTCTCGGAGATTGCACGGATAAAACTTGTCTTACTCACGTAGTTCATCAGAAGTAAGGAGTGGTTTAGAAAGGAGCCAATAGAGTGAGAGGACTTTAGTCTCGGTGGTATCACAATGGGCCTCCTATAGGCCTAGTTGCATCGTCCGACAGCCACTCTACCTACTCACCCACCTACCTTAAAAATATATCTATTTAGAGAAATCACTAGGTATACAATTCTTCTGGATAACTTGTTCAAAATTATTGTGAAACTGAAGTATTTTGTTGGCATCAACCCATTTTAATAATTATATTGGAATTATATAAACGAAGTGGAGGTACTTTAAGTGAAAAAGTTAACTTATAATAATAATTAACAAAGAGCACATAGTGGACTAATTCCTTTTCACAAACAAAAAAGTAATTTTTATTAATTTTGAAAGTGCTTAAATTTTAATATGTTTAAGGCCACAAAGCCATAAAAACCACTTGACACCAGTTAACAATATTTTTGAAACCATTCAAACGCAAACCCTTAAATATCTCAATATAAGAAAAAATTAACTTAAACCACTTTCAATATAAACGGCTCATATATTTCTTAATGTAAATAAATATCTGAAAAATTTCAAAATTATATACATACATATGTAAGTGATCCGTTATTTAAGTTAGGAAAATTTATATTTAGTCAATAATTCAGCTGTTTTATAAAAGTAGAATCATCATGTGCAATACTACTAAAAACTACACCACAACTAAAATTAATTATAACTAACTCCTACATTTTTATATTTATTATAAATACATACATACTTGTAGTATACTTGTAGTATGTATGTATGTAAGTGTAAAGCTACATGCAAAAGAACTTAGCAACTTCTAAACTAAACTAAATTTTTTACACTCTCAAAAAAATGAAGAACTGACTTCAAAAATGCAGTTTGCAGACTTTACGGCAACACTGTATGTCAAATGATGTAATGCTATTTTAAACATTTATGAACGCATAATTGCTTTGTCGTGTATCTCGTTTATTGTATTTTATTAAATTATTAATTGTTGTAATTGTTGTGGAACCGAAATTTGACATTGAAAAAAAAATTTGTCCAAGAATTTATTATTTTACGTTTAAATGAATTCACTCCATTTATATTTATATTTTGCTTCAATTCAATTTAGATATGTACATATTTACACGTATCTTTACATCAAGGTAAAAAAACTAATAAGTGAAAAAATTAATTGTGAATTTTTAACAATTTCCTGAAATAAGGTACGAATTTCTATTAATCCAGCTACTTTCTCTAGTTCCACCATTTTCTTTCTCGCTAAGGCCAAGAATTTCTCCATTATAAGAGCATCTGCCACATATGATTTTCTTAGAAAATCAAGTACGTAGCCGCGTTTTTATTTAATAACACTTCTCGGAGTGGTGGTATCCGAAGATGTAATATCAGAGTAGTTATCGGTGGGTGTCAATGGTTCCGCGCTTATTAAATCTTCTACAAGCGAACTTCTGGTAATTTCACTTGGCACTTGTATGCTGCTGCAGCTGCCCAACACCTCATTTAATTTATGAAAAACTCCCCACTTGTCGAACTCTCTATAGATGTGTTATTTCTCTTTTTGATCCTCGTTATGTTTATTAAACATCTCGTCGCTTCATCTTTAGAAAAAGTGAATATGTTGTCAATTTCTTTAATTTCACGTAATATGTTTTCCCGAACTGTGTTTCTCTTCTGTTTTTTGCACTAAACTCTGTTTCTTGTTGCAAACGGACTTTTATTAAAAGCTTCATTCGTTCGTGCCTCCACTTTTTATCACTATAAATAGACATATGTATGTAAAAAAATTCATAGAAATATTTGTAAATAAATTCATACAAATATAGTAAATAAATAAGTATTTGCATAAAAATTTATCTTACGTTATGTCCGTCATTTCAACCGTCCAAACAATCAAAGCATCACAGATGAAATTGATGAACTCTATGAAATCTAATGGAGTTATGAAGTCAGCCTATCTAAACGGGGAAGAAAAATTAATACAATGTTAAAAAATTTGTACTAAACATACTTTATCACTTACACCAGAAAACACACCTTGTACTTATTGCCCTCAATTAATGAAATTTTAGTCTCAAATAAGTGCAACATAATCCCTTTTTCTTTAATTTTTTAAATTTACTATTCTTGAGATGGTCGAAAAGCTCTTTATACCACTTTATCTTCATCCGACAAATCGGTGTAATCTTTGTAATTCTTGGAGCAAATTAAAGACTCTGAGTGCTTTTTAAATCTCTTTGCTGGTAATGAGCACTTTTGCACAGTTAAAGCAACTGGACTTGCAGAACATTTCAATACACTTATATGTATCTATACCCAATAATCCCTGCCTTAATGCCAGCTGCTACTGAATTGCTGAGCATTGTGTTATGGGGATATACATATGTATGTGGGTCCCACATTATGGGACGATGTCAACTTCGGACATATTTTAAAATATGACTATCGATTGCATGCAGCTTCCTTATAACTTTGAAGCTATACATTGATGGAATTGACAATCATCATAGCAAAACTTATTGCATCCTCAGTAGCATTTTTGGATGCAATAATTGCTCTATTCTCTAATTCAAATAATTCTTGCTTTAAAATACTGTTCTCCTGTCTGAGCGCATTCACGTTTATTTTTCTTAGGGGCATTCTACTGACAAGCCCTTGCAAACCGAACGCAAGATTCGCGGTCACATTTTGAGGAATCGGGGTTGAATGAAACATTGTATTGTTTACACTTCCCCTCGAGATCCGAATATAATTCGAATTCCTCAAAACTTAAATCTTCTTCGTTCTTTTTTGATTAGTACATGCATACTGACGTTTAATAGGCTGAAGGACTCTGTTTGAAGAATGGCTGCTACAACTACCTACAGTTTCATAAAATAAATTGTGCTTCGGGAAAGCTCCTTCCTTAAGTCTATTATTTGTGACGCAATTCACATCAAAATGACGGTCACAAATAAATAACTTTTTTCGGTCGGAGTATGATGTACTTATTTTTAATGCTAAAACCCAGTTATTAAAGGCAATCTCGTCATCGGGGAATGAAAAAAGGATTTTTGTTTCATCCGATGGACATCCTTTAGCGCAGCAGGTTCGTACTTCTCTACTCTTCCTTATTGGCAAGTGGACAGCATCAGCGGATTTTCCTATTATAATGTACATATAGATAGCATTTATTTAATAAATAATTTTTATGAGTATAAATTAATAATTCTACTAATATCAACAATATAATATAATCGTACTAATAATATGTTATGGTTTGTGATTTTGTCATATTATGAGAATATACACAAAATGTCATATGTATGCACGTAATACCTCCAGCAACAAACAAAACGTATACATAAACCTTGATGGGCACATATACATACATACATAAATGCATATATGCACATGTATTCACCCTGGCAATATCACCAAACATTTATGTTTAAATTTGTTACTGTAAATGTTTACGTACCAAGTTTTAAAGTGGGAACAGCTCCAATTTTCAATCTCTTGGCCCCCAGTGCATAATCCTCAAAATGAATTGCACAAACAAACGTGTTTGAGGGGGCAATTTTCCTTCCCTCAAAGCCTAGATTTCGGCACCACTTTTGTGCAATTTGTTCATTTTTCGGCCAAATGAACAAATTGCATTTTTTGCTATCGTTATTACACTCGCGGACACAGCATTTTCGAATTCGCGGCATTGTAAAATATTTTAAATATTGTATTAATTTTGAAACGATTTTAAATTGTAACACCGCACCACAAGAAGCCGAGATAAAGAGATGCCTAACTCTCCTGTCATTGGAAATGAGAGGGCAACTCACTTACCTGACTTTGACATTTGACTGGATCTGGTAGGTTTTGACGTTTAGCCACTGGAACGACTGGAACGGCCAGATTGAAATTTTACCAAAAATATACATAAATATGTGAACGGAGAGATTTTTTACCGCCGCAAATTAAAGAAAACTTGGAATTTAAATGTACTTGATGAAATGTTTTGTGGTGTGATGCATCATAGTATTCACTTTCAATTGAAAATTATTAAAACATTTAATAATTTAGAGCTAACAAGTTTAAATCACTTTATTACGAATTGAAAGGTCATAAATAAGTTGTTTTAATATGTCATAAAATCAGAAAAAAATAAAGTTTCTTTATACTTATATTCAATGTGCAATCTATAACAACTTATAATCGTAATAAATGTAGATTTGTTTCATCCAAAGACAAGTATTTTGGGGCAGCCCTTTATCCCCGAAAATAAGTTTGTTTACATCTAATGCTTTGGAATTTCGTTTCTCTCTTTTGCTATACCCTTTTTTCTATTTTCACACTTACCCAATTTGAATACTTTCTCAGTTAAGACCCCCTTATGTCATTAAAAAGTAAGTCAACAGGTGCATCAACTCATTCAATAGATGAGAATACTTTCCTCCTCTGACCTAGTTAAAATTTTTCATTTCGACATCTCTTCCAATTCAATTTCATGCTATTCGAAATTAAAAACAGTTTCTGCATGTCACGTTGTTAATTGTTTTTTAATTTTTGCTTATCGTTTAAATCTGACCCACATCCCATATAATTTATTTTACATACAAATTAAATTCGGATATAATGAACCCCTAAGCATTTGTGGATGGTTCGATTGCCGCTTCGAAGATGCTGCATTACGACTATTTTGACCCTCGTTATCGGCAAATTCTCTTTTGGTGTCGCTTTGTGCGTTCACACGAATAAAAAGAGTCCAGCAACTCAAATCGAGTGTTGCATATTTCAGTTGTATGTGGTGGTCTCACATTTTGCTTGTAAGTAACTATTATGAATGTGGGAACATAATATGCATAATACCCGCTTAATAGTTCCAAGGAAATATATTATATAGTGCTGACTCTGAGAGAAGAATAGATTAGGATTAGAACCACAAAATAACGACGTAGGCTCTGCATTAGAGAGCCGCGAAAGGTTTGATTTAGAAAGGCAATATCAATACCTTAAAAAAAGTGCAATAATTGCGTATGTAACTTCAAGTTCTGATGCTAAAACATTAGCTAGGATGATCGTCACGAAGCACACTGTTTTTTTTGACAATAAAAGAACATTGAGCTCTCTTTTGCGATAACGCACCATTAGGTATGTTGTCTTTCGCTTTGATACCAATGTCATGGGAAATTAAAAAAATAATCCAATGTCCAAAATGTTCGATTTAGAACGAAATTGCGTTCTGTTTGACGAAATGCCGATAAAGTCCGACCTAACTTATAATAGAGTTAGAGATGTAATTGATGAAAATATGTGTTTTCGTACTCTATTTCCAAAAATGGACTTTTTTATAAACCAAAACTGAAAGAAATTTTGAATAAAAACATCGCAGCACTGAAGTCGAGATCTAAACGTAAAAGCTGTAGTCTGCGAACAAAGGCATTCAAATTCTTCACTTTAAATCCTTTAAAGTACCCGCTGTTAAAGAACATTCATACATATTTTAAATCAATCAAGCTTCGGATCAACGCTCATGTGAGGTGCATTAATGGGTTTTTTCCGCAATTAATGGAATGATACAGTTGATCGAGTTTTTCATAGAGTCACCCCTCAGCCTGTGAAATCCAGCATATTTTAGGTCGCTTAATTTCAAAGAAAATTTTGAGAAAAAATTTTGAACTAGGGGGCTAATTGTAAGGATGATGACGATATAAATTTAGATTGGAACCTAGGGCCCGCAGATCGTCATCTAGAAAGAAGCAGACAGCGCCATTTTACGAGCAAACCCCAAAGGAACAGATACTAATGAAAGAGTGGTACAGTATAGACACATCCATAACAAGAAAGTTGGTCGAATCAATACCAAGACGTTTAGAAAAGTAGTCCGAGATAGAAGGAAGAACTACGCGATATTATAAAGTGAATTTCTGTTTTCTAACTTGGATTTTACATGATTTGTCGAATATTTTTTTTGCTTTCATTTTTGGAGTAATTCAGTTTTTGTGCATTTTCTTCTTTTGTTATTATAAAAGTCATCAAGTTACAAACTAAATAAATTATTGCTTTAAAAAACACTGGTTTTTGGTCCTTTATTAGTTTTTATTGGGGAATATTTCAAAAATAAATAAATACAAGTAAGAAAGGGCTAAGTTCGGATGTAACCGAACATTTTATACTCTCGCAAAGTCAAATGGTATACTCGTTTTAAATTTCTTTGTGGATCTTGCCGCCTTGTTCTATGTTGACCGAGATTTTCGGTAAAAAGTCAACTGTAGGTACGGGGGTCCACATATTTAGTACCTGGGGGCTTGAACAGTTTTGGTTCGATTTAGAAAATTTTTGGCCACAAGGTGGCATACTTTAATCGCATTATTCACGCAAAGTTTTATCCCGATACAGTCATTGTTGCCTGATTTGCATAGTGGAAAGTGAAATAATCAGATGGAATTTAAAATGGTGTTATATGGGAAATAGGCGTTGTTGTGATCCGATTTCGCCCATTTTCGCACCATACCATAGAAATATGAAAATAATGTTATGTACCGAGTTTGGTTGAAATTGGTTAAGCAGATCCCAAGATATGGATTTTTACATAAAAGTGGGCGGTGCCACGCTCACTGTCTAATTTTGAACGCGGTTCCTATAAAGTAGTCTCATACCATCCCTGAGATAAAATTTAATGTCTCTGGCATGTTTTTTAACAGTACCGCTACATTTTCACATGTCTGCCAAGTTTCATAAAGATACCTCAATTTTTACTCAAGTTACACCTTGTACGGACGGACGGACAGACAGTCAGCTGGATTTCAACTCGTCTCTTCATCATTTATATATACATATATAACCCTATATCTAACTCAATTAGCTTTAGGTGATACAAACAACCGTTAGGTGAACAAAACTATTATACTGTAGCAACAGGTCGCGAGAGTACAAAAATGCATATGTCGAATATAAGTGTGTATGTTCCGATTGAACTTAAAAACGAGTCAACTGATATTCATAAAAGTTGTCATACATGCATATGTAATTTTTTCCAACTTAAATGATAGGAGAGTTATTATTTAAATTAATGGTCTCAGTCATTAATAATTAATAATAAACTGATTATCAACGTTGATTGTTGTTATCTATAATATAAAAATGATTCGCAAAATGTGTCGATAAGCTTACTATAACTTTTATTGTAACTTACTGTTGTCAAAGCAATGTAGCTGTGTTCCTAACGTCGAAGAGTCAAGTTGCACTTTATTATCGCTGCAGAAGGTTTAAATTCAATCACAACTATGTGTCTGCCAAAACAGTACGCGTGTGCGCTTTGAGGGATTTAATGTTGTGTTTCAAAACACTACAAAAGTGATAATATCGCGAACCCTACTAAATTGAATAGTCAAAATATATGAGATCTATAGATAATTAGTACTGATTTTTAATTTGGTTGGCTTCGCGATATTATTTCTTTGGTTTTAGTTATTTACTTTATTAATTATTAATTTAATATCCTTATCTGTGCATAATTATTTAAATACATACAAATAGGAAAATAAAAAACTCCACATACATACAATATTGTTTTAGCTTAAAGGACTTCTTTCCAAGTCATATCAAATTACAAAAAAAATTTAAAATTGTGATCTGTCATTTTTTGGGTGTACATACACGTATTATTTTTTTTTTCTGTTACCTGAATTTCTCTACTGAGTTTTCAATATGCCTCCAATAAGACGAAGTACAATAATTTAGGTAGAAGAACCCGAAATGCTACAAACCAAACTAATTATCGATCTAATCATACTGCACAAGAACGTGACGACCGAAATGAACATGAGAGAATTCGGATATCCAATAAGACGAAGTACAATAATTTAGGTAGAAGAACCCGAAACAGAGAACGTATATCATAGAGAAGGTTCAATTGCGGACCAGCGTGTGAATTGTCAAAACCTAACAAGATTTTATTAGTTAATTTCACCAAATCTGGCTCGGAAGGAGAAATTTTAACAGTGGAGAGTGAACAGAGCTGAGAATTCAATGAAAATTATGCTCAGAGACTTGCTTTGATATTACAGCTGCATGTTAGCCTTTTGGCTTATATTTTTATACGTTTATATGCAATCATATTTATTGATATGAATATCATTTTGCGAATTTTTATGAATGCATGCAAAACTGATAAGACTCTAATTAAATTATGTAATTTTTAAAATATTATATTTAGTCAATTTGGGAATTTAATGATTTTATTTAGTTTTTACATAATATACTTTCCTAATAGAGATTAAATTTATTACACTATATGTATATGTACATATGTACATCTTTTATCATATTAATCTTATATATAATCATATGTATATCTGCACAAGCGCATTTGAATGTACGGATTCAGAAATTCAAATCATAATTTTATCATATATCAATACAATATATGTGCGCGCATTGATACATATGTACACGCACATATGTACACGCATATATGTATGTAGACATAAAATTGCCGAACAAATAATGCATACACAAACCAACATACATACATATGTATATGCGTACACATGTAAATATGTCACCTGCAAAAACTACAGACATTGTTTTACAAAAACAACAATCGTCACAAGTCAATATGTCAACCAAATAGGCGAAGCCCAAATTTATAGTAAATTGCACAACAACAACATTTTCATTCATGAACGCAGGCGTACTTTTAACAAGCAACCTCGCTTCATTCATAAAAACAGATACCCTCACATCCCCCCGAGCATGCTTTTGCCAACAAGCGTCTTTTCACGACGATGGCAAAAGCTAAAAATCATAAATTGAACAAATTTCTGATATTCCCTCTAGAAGTGAAAAGTGACAACCCCCCAAATATGAGTATTAAAATGTTTTAGAATAAAAGTGACAACATA